AAAAGAAGTATAGCCAAAAGTATTAGTTGCTCAAACCAAGTATAAGTGTATTGTGGGAAGGGGAGTTTAGAAGGAAGAAAGCTTGCACGGAGAGAAAACAACATATGCAGAAACCCAGAGGCAAGGAATAGCATGATAAATTTGAGGACCTACAATTATTATAACTGGATTCATGAATGTTAGAGGAGAAGAATACGAGAGATAGTATTAACAGGAATCAGATTATAAAAGCCATGTGTGTGTATATTGCTAAAGAGTTTAAACACTCTTTTGAAGACAGTAGAAAGCCATAAAGGGGTTCAAAGAAGGAGTAACATAAAATCCGTGTAATAGAAAGATTACTGGTTAAACTGAAGAGATTGCACAAGGACCAGATTAGAAGCCAGGAGACCTTTAGATGCTGTCAGAGGAGTCTAGGTAGATGATAGTCTGTACTAATGATGGGTAACATCTTGAGTGATGAGTACTGAGGTACTTGAGAAGTTATTGTCTGGAATCATGGTTGTATAGGTGAGTCTGCAGGTATTGATGTAGAAAGTTCTCCCCCCCCCCCATTCTTGCAGTGAAGAGGGACGTAGCAAGCTGGAAGACTTGGGGAGAGGTGCTAAAGTGTCAACTACAGAATAAGATCAAGAGCTCACCAGCCAGATGACCAGCTTTGAGGGTCCATTTGAGATTAGAAACTATACTAATTAGAATAACTGATTTTCTAAAGCAATACTCAACATTCTGTTTTAGGAATCGGAGATGAGAAATACTTGACTGATCTAGTGTATGGGTCTTGCTTTGTGACACAAGTACTATGAGGACAAAATGTTGAGGACTTTGGCAAGAGTGGTTAATTTAATGATCCTTGCAATCTAGACTGCCTAGGGATTGAAGTGAAGATGGGGTTGATAGGAAGAATATACAAGGGGCAAGGGGTTGAAGGTCAGTGAGGTCCCGACTGGGACAGTTTGAAGAAGGTAAGTGCAGGGTGTAGCTCACGACTGTTGGGGCAAAAGTGGTTTCAGTTGAGGTGGTCAAAGGACCAGGTGTTACATAGATGGTTTTCCTGGACAGTGAATTCACGAAGACAAAGCAAGACTGAGTGCCAGAATACCAGTGAGTGGTGCAAGTTGCTAAGTTACTACTAAATAAGGGTATTAAGTGAAATTCCACATATCTGCAGAGGGGAAAGGATTTTTCACAAGTGAATAGTTTGTCTTAGAGTTAACTAGGGTGCATGGAATGTGAGGGAATGAGCAATGTGAGAAAATTGCAGGAGGATTATCTTTCAAGAGGAGCCTAGATCTCAACTAAGCCAAGGAGCAAGGAAGAACTAACTCAGTGCTCTATTGATAAAGGGAGTTTTGAATATGGGGAGTTCCTGACAGCCATGAATGGGAGGGAAATACCTCAGCTGACTCTGAATAGTTGTGAGACCTGGGTTTATATCCAAAATGCAATAGGGCTTCTATTTCTACTAAGGTACATTAGTAATTTGGTCAGAATATGTGGAGTACTTAAAGTGTTCCAGGCACTGTGTTTGGGATACAGAAAAGTGGATAATGTTCATCCTGTACTCACAGCAAGCTACATCCATGGCAATGACACAGTGCAGTGATTCCAGATCTCTGTGCAGGGGCATCTCTCCCAGCCTAGGTAAAGGGGTGGGGGAGAGTGTGTTCAGATAGGTTTTTGGACAAATGGCTAAATATGAATGGGCAACCTGGCAAAGGCACAGAATGGTAACATGTCTACTGTTAGTCTGAACAATTATAGCAGCTTTTACTGATGAGATCTTCACAATGAGGAAAGCAGTTGTGAAAAAGGCTAAAGTCCTATGTAGGAAGGCCTATAGTCCTGTTTTTGAACAGCTATTGAAGAGTTTCAGAAAACAGTGAAAAAGATAAACATAGGTAAACACCAGCAAAGGGGAAGGATGGATTTTATGAATACACTTGCTTAAAGGCTGGCTTATGAGGAAGGAAAGTGGGGTAAGTCCTAAGATTAAATACTAGTTTTTTGTATTTTTTTTAAAAAAGATTTGTGCATTTATGCATACAGAACTGGGGTACAGGCAAGAGGTGCAGGGGCGGTAAGAGGATTCACTAGAGACAGCGGGGAGCAGAAGAGATGGGTCCATGAAGTACACTGCTAGGGGAGCAGCAGGGGAGAAGGGAGAGGTCTGCGTCATGTGGGTCAGTCCCTGTTGAACATGCACTGAAGTGGCTGTGGCTCACTTGCAGTGCTCACCCTAACCAGTTGCATCACCAAGGAGAGCCAGTTTTTTGTATTTCTGGTAGGAGGGGGGCTGCATTAGGTCACTTACTTTGATTCTGCGTCTTCCTTACGGAGCCACCTTTTGTCTTCCTATTTGGTATTCTGTACCCTAGTGTGATCACCTACCAACTATTTGAACTTGAGTCCATTACCCTGATCTTCAGATTCTGAGTTGGCAAATGAATGTTTTTATTTCAGCATTAGAAGTTTGAATAATGAATTTATATTTAGATACAGAGGGGAGTACTCACACTGTTTTTGTGTATTTTGGGGGTAGTACCGAATAGTTCTTTAATCACCCTGATACTAGATGTGAAAGGAAGGAGTGCAATTGTGAATACAATCAATTAACTAACAAAATACTTGACATATGGAATTTCAGCCTGTACCATGGACTTTGAGGTAAAAGGGAAGACCCATTTTGGGCCTCCAAAATCATGCAGTCTGGTTGATAAACTCATAAAACTATGTGATACTACTCATTCTTTTTTTAAATTAGTAATAAATGACAATTTTTAAAAAATTTTTTTAAACTGTGCACCTGACTTAAATGACAATTTTTGAAAAAATAGAGAAACAAATAGAAGTAAAAGCTATCCATCATCATATCACTCAAAGATAATTGCTAACATTATCATGTAGGCTTTTTTAAAAAAAGATTTATTTATGCATACAGAACAGGGGGACAGGCTAAAGGTAGGTGGGGTGGGGAGAAGATTCATCAGAAACAGAGTTGGGAGCAAAACGGGTAGATGTATTGAAATACACTGCTGAGGGGAATAGTGTGCAGGCGATTGAACTCAGGCTGCAGTGGCTGCCATAGCTTCATAGAGCTGTGACAGCTTCATAGTGCTGTGCTTTAATCTGTTGCGCCACTAGGGAGGGCCCATTATGAAGCCTTTTGAATCCACTGTACACAGTGGATGTGCTTGTGGATGTGTACACATACATGTGCTTGTATGTATACAGTACTTTTTGAAACAAATTCTCCCCTTTATAAAAACATTGTCTCCATCAGAGGAAGCTGGTCTGTTAGAATATTCAAGCAGTACTTCACATTTGCAATCAAAGGCATATATAACCCATTTCTTTTACTTATTATTGTATTTACCCTGATGAATAGATTCAATAAAGTAATTAGCACATTTGAGCCAGAGGATCTTTTACATGTTTTTTCTTGGAATTTTGGGCTTTTGCGTATATGTTAGTATGTTACTAAGGAACTTACATACTTTATATAAATTGACAACAATTTTCTGTTGTCAATTTTAGAAGTTGTCTGGACTTACTCTTTAGTTAACATCTGGGGATAAGGAATGTCCCTGCAACATGTTTACAGCAGTATCATGTAGAGTAGTAGTTTTGTAGTTTATCCACCAGACTATCCACTGTTCCTTGTGGCTCAGGTTGGGCCTTTCCCTTATATCCTGAAGTCCCTTATATCCTGGTACACGGCTGAAATTTCATCAGATATAAAGCATTTTGTTAGTTGACTGTGTTCATGCTTGTACCCCTTTCTTTCACATCTAATACCATGATGACTGAACTGGTTAAGTGCCTGGGCACATAACTGAAATTTACTTAAAGAATTTCTTTCCCCATCTCACCCTCCAAGGCATTTTAATTATCAGTCTGCATTTGTTAAAAGACACTGAAAATTTAAGTCTACAAAATAGATAAATCAAGGCTCCTGGCTCAAGAATACCACAATGAACACATATCCATCTTCCACTAGTTTTTATAGACCTGCTTTTTTTATTAGTTATTATTATGTGTGTCTTTATTTTATTTAATGGTGCAATTTCATCTTACTTTTTTTTTTTTAAAGATTTATTTATTTATGCATACAGAACTGGGGTACACGCCAGAGGTGCAGGGGCGGTGAAAGGATTCACCAGAGACAGAGTGGGGAGCAGAACAGGCGGACTGATGAAGTACACCGCTGAGGGGAGCAGCGGGCGGGTCAGGAGAGGTGGATCACCTCCGGAGCTGGGGATCGAACTCATGCTAAAGTGGCTTTAGCTTCTTAGTGCTGTGTTTTAACCTGCTGTGCCACCAGGGAGGGCCCTAGAGCTCCTTTTATGGGGAAACATAAGGAACTTACATACTTCATATAAATTGACAACAATTTTCTGTTTAGAAGTTGTCTGGACTTACTCTTTAGCTAACATTTGAGGATAAGGATGCATCATGTTTACAGCAGTATATGTAGAGTAGTAGTTTTGTAGTTTATCCACCAGACTGTGTTCCTTGTGGCAGTTGTCTGTTCCTGAATTCTAGCTATGTTTCTCAAACGCGACAGTTAATGTTCAGTGGATATCTGTCGAGTGCAAGCATTAGTGACCAGACCCGAGTGAATTCTAGTTCACAACTAGGCTTGTGAATCTGGGTTTCTTTCAGTATCGACGTTTCACGGGAGATTAAACACGCCTCTGTGCATGAAAAGAACCTTGCAAATTCGAGCAATCTAAAGCACGGAATAGGTATCATTTAATAGCAACTATCTTCTTTTATCGGAAGGAGCCTAGCCAGAATCTGGGCAGCATCTGCAGAGAACACGAACTCGGTTTTCCAGTTCTATTCTCCTGTCTACAGAGCTTTCCACCGTAGTTTAGACACCACAGTCAACTCACCCGCCTGTTCGAGCAGCAGGTGCTTAGGACAACCACGTGGAACTCTACACCCCGGCACTTCCTGCTTCCGCAGGAAATAGTTTGTTACAGGAAATGACGAGAGCTGGGTGGAAAGAGTTGTCTCTTCCTCTCCACGCGGTGGACGCGACTAGTCGGTCTGTACCGTTTGTGTCGAGTGATGCCGGGGAAACTCCGTAGTGTCGCGGATTTGGAATCAGGCCTGGCCATGGGAAAAGTGGAGAAGCCACGAAAGCAAACTGAGAAGGTGATACACAGGGCCCTGGGGCCTGAGGGCGGTGGGGCACGGGAGACGGGCTCTGGAGCTGGGAGTGCGCGACGCGGACCTGGCCGGTCCAGAGCCCCGCGTGGTTCCCGGCTAGGGGCGCCGTTGGGTGGTGCTCCCCACGGGCGGTGGGCCCCCTGTCTGCCCCACCTGCCGGCGCCGAGCGCGCCTGGAGCCCGGAAGGGAGGCCGAGCGGGATGGGGGGAACTGGAGGGCCAGCTGTCCCACGTGGTACCGGAGCCCCGGCGTCCCGCGCCGGCAGCGCAGAGTTGAGCGTCCCGGGTTAAGCCCCAGGTTGTTGGCTCAGCCTTTCCACCGGGCGTGCGCTTGCGCGGAGGGAACTGCGAGGCAAGTGGAGGTAGAAACAACGCTTTATGTTAGACGAGCGGGGCTGTGAGCTGGTGCTCCCACGTGGGCGGCTCCTGCGGTGACATCCTTTTCACTCGAGCAGAAGTCAGGCTTCCGGTAAGCAGCCCTTAGAAGCTGAAGCAATTCAGTTCTTGTTCACGTTTATTGGCTAGATAGCCCATGAAAATGCAAAGACGTGGGCTGCTGTCTGTACACGCTGTTTTTTATGTAAGTCAGCAGTGTGCAGTAGTCTTAAGTTACTTTGATAGTTGCCTTTTGCTTGTTTCGATATTGATTGTACACGACTTAGGAGTTTTCATTCCTTGTCATTTCAAGTTTTTAATTTTTTGGATGGGGACCTCTTAGAGTATCATCATTTTGGCATTGTGTGATGCCTGGGAACATAGACTTGGCCCCACAGATAGGGAAGTGGTAATGGTTTATCTACGCTGTGTCAGTTTGTGTTTAAATTAGGAGAGGCTCGACTTTTAAGTTACCAAACTCAGTGTGGAATCCACTTACTTGGTGGACCCAAGGGAGAAAGAAAGAAGGTTATTGTGTATGAAGACCAAGTTATTTTCCGACATCAGAAGGCTGGTTATCCTTCATCCATGATTTGAAGTTTCAGACATGCAGATTGAAAATCAGTGTAATAGCCTTCATAGTTAGGAAGTTGGCCTGTGTCTGCTAGAGAGGTTTTTAACAGAGGCTACACCTATCTAGTTGTTTTCAGTAATATGAAAAGGTGGAGATGGTCAGACATTTCAGGTAGAAAGTTTTAATTTTGAGGTTTCACCCATTCCATTCCTTATATTTTGCATTTTCTCCCCAACATGTTTCCCCTCAACCCTTTAAAATAGACACATCTTTGTGCAGTGCATGAGGTGATTGTAGGTTTTTATAGTTCTGTTGGTTCATAAAGTGTATCTATATGTAAATACATTTGTGTTTGTGAGATAAAACAGAACAGATATTATGACCTCTTGGAAAGAAAATCTTCATCTGTGAAAGAATAATGAAGTGATTGCTTTCTATAGTATTATCTAATTTAGAGCTTGTCAGAATGTTCCATGAGCCACCCCATTGTGAATTGAATAGTTAATGAGAGGTAATCTCTTCCAAGCTAAGAAAATTGATACATACTTGTCTGCAAGTAGCTAAATGGTACTGAAAACCATACTGATTGATTTTTGCTTCGTTGCAAGGTGAAAGTGCAAATATTAAAAATGCCCACCATTCATTGTGTTTCTCATAATTATGTGATCTTGAAATAATACAAAATTGATGTATTATGCAAATTGTATTCCTTTATTACTTTTTTTTTAGAGAGGTAGAAAAGAGAAGCCAAAATCTAAGAATGAAGAGGCAGCAGACAAAAAAGAAGAAACTATTTCCCCCAAAGCTAAAAAAGTTAAAAAGAAAGCAGAGCCTTCTGAGGTTGACATGAGTTCCCTTAAGCCCCAAAAGGCAGTGAAGAAAGAGGAGCCTTCTCAAGAAGATGTTATTTCTCCTAAAACCAAAAGTGTGAAAAAGAAAAAGGAGACCCTTGAAAAGAATGTTGTTTCTCCTAAAACCAAAAAGGTGAAAAATGAGATTGCTGAAGAAGAAATAGGTTCTCCTAAACCCAAGAAGATGAAGAAAGAAAAGGAAATAAACGGAGAAGTTGGGGAGAAAAATCCCAAAGTGAAGAATGGAGAAATTGGGGAGAAAAATCTCAAATTAAAGAATGGATTCTCTCATTCTGAACCTGACACAAACGCCAGTGAAGAAAGTAACAGTGAGTTAGAGCAGGTAAAGTTGCACCATAATATGTAGACTATCTTTCTTATGTCAGATAAATAGGTAATAGCTCATATGCTATTAAATAATTAGAAGAAATTTGATGTGTCAGCACTTCGAGGGGTTGTGTCCCTTGAGCTGTAGGTGTAACTTCATTTTAAAAGATATTGTCAGAATGTTTCCTTTGCATACAAGCAGGTATGTTGCTAAGCTTCATGAAAGTCTTTTCTCCGCTTCTGGCTTGTTTATCAGCATGTCAAAAACCAGTAGGAGGGGGGATATAGAAAGTTCTAGCATCCCTCTGAGGAGATTCACCAAATGGTAATTAAGTAGAACCACTGAAAAAGCGCTTGACTGCCTACGTTTTCTTCTTTTGACCAGGATGATTGAGTGGCCACGAGGTAAAATATCTGTTACCTTTTCAGATACTCAGTAATCAAAGCAAAGTCCTAATTTTACTAAGTTATTTTGCCTTGTCTGTATGATGTGGTCAACATTCAATAAAATACTTTTTCCCTGATTATAAAAAATACTTAATCTGGAAAATTTATAAAATGTAGAAATTTACCAGGAAGCATTTCAGCAGTCATTAAGTAAATACAAGGCACTTTTCAGGCACAGGGTGACCTGCTGTTGAATGTTGTTTCTGTACATTAACTTTTATACATCACCTTTTTGATCAGATTAGGATGTACTGTGCACAGTTTTATAGCTGACCTTTTCTGTTTACATACAATTTTCTATATTTTCACATATTAGATATATTTAATGGCCACAAATACATCATCTCCGTATTTTGAAATCTACTTAAATATTTCTTTGTTGGGCATTCAGCTTTTTGTTGTTAAATAAAGCCACTGTGATGACTTTGTCATGCATGTTTAGTTCTTTTTGAATAAATGTGAGAGATGTTGATATGGAAGAGGATTACTGACGCATTTAACATTATATTGTTAATGTGGAAAGGCTTCGGTATAGTTCTTAGTTGAGATTGAATCCACCTCATTAGCCATATGGAAGCTGTATACAGTAGGTAATTGACATATTTTTCTTCTGTTAGAGTTTTCTTGATTATCATTATTTATTTCCTTTTAAGAGGATCTTGATTTTCACCTACCAAAGTTTTTGTGTGTTTTTGGGCGGTTGAGATATTTTAGAATACCAAAGTCTTCTCTGTGTTAACCTGAAGGAACAATTACTGATTTCTTTCTGTGGCCCTTGCTAGGAAGTACCTCTGGAACAAAAAGAAGGAGCATTTTCTAATTTTCCCATATCTGAAGAGACTATTAAACTTCTCAAAGGTAATATTCTTGGAAATACTTTATAGTGGTAAAACTTCTTGTTAGGATGAAGTGGAACATTTTCTTGTGGGATGACACAATAGATGCACACATGTAATGAAGTGGTCTGTAAGTTTAGCATAGCACTATCCGTCCTAGTGATCACCTTTGCTGTCTCTTAAACGAGAGATTAAAATTTATTCAGCACAATATGTCTATTCAGAAGTATAATGATTGATAATGAAATGAAATATTGGATGCCATGTTAGTATTTTCTTTTTTATACTCTTACTTCTTGAGTCATTTGTAGGTTAATGTGATACTAGCCTGAGTCAGAAATCATTATCAGTGTGCCTATGAACAGACCTAGGTCACGAATGCTTGCAGAAGCCTGATGTTTGTGAATCAGCTGCACCACATATGGACTGCAAAGCACTGATAAATCCAACCTGTTAATAAGATTTCATGACATGTGACTTAATCCTTAAAATAATAAATATTTACTATAATTTGGTGTTTCATATATTATCATTTAGTTGAGAAAAATCTTCACTAGTAGAATATATTCAAACCTGACTTTATAGACGTTGATCAGAAGTAAGATAGAATTTCTTAATTGTTCAGGATTTGAAGCATAGGTATGCTTTCATCTTGGCTGATATTTTATGAACTGCAACATCAGGTAACATGGTTAACTTTTTCACAGTCCGTGGAGTGACCTACCTGTTTCCTATACAAGCAAAGACATTTCACCATGTCTACAGTGGGAAGGACTTAATTGCACAGGCACGGACAGGAACTGGGAAGACATTCTCCTTTGCCATCCCTTTGATTGAGAAACTTCTAGGAGAAGTACAAGACCGGAAGAGAGGCCGTGCCCCTCAGGTAATGATCTTAAGCACCTGTGACATTGGGCTCCAAATCCACATAGGAAAGAAAGAATTCTTGGGCATTGTTTATGTGCCCTATTTTATATTTGGTTGTCCTTAAATTTCTTTTTGCCTCTAGTTGCTTATCTGAAGGTAGCCAAGATAATTCTTGTAAGACTGTCATAACAAACACTGTTTGTTTAAATAATATCTTCTGTCTCAATTTTGTGATCACTTGTATTAATGTTCATCATGTTCCTTCAAACTGATATTTGTCTCTGGAGCTCACGGCTTTGGTCCGTTGTCTTTGGCTACTTCTGCATAGATGGGGAAAACATTTTTGGTAAAGATGCATGAATAGAAGGGCAGGCATCCAGAAGTGAAGAGGCGAAGCCCCTTACTAGAATTCTAGCTATCCATTGGGTAATATCTGGAGAATCTGGTATTTGACAGACCTTTTCCTTACTAAATAATGTCCATGTTGTCACCTTGGCTATGAGTTCTTTGACTTTCTAGTCACACCTTGTTTATTGGCCTTCCATTGTCCATTCTGTCTCTCATTAAATATAGTAGTAAATAATAATTCTAATACCTGGAATAGTGTTGGCCATATAGGATTATCAGTAAAATATCTATCTTAGTTGAAGGATTGATTAGGTGGTGGTTGCTTTTTTTTTTTTTAGTCATCAATTCATGTACACAGAATTGGGGTACAGAGGTGCAGGGGCAGTGAGAGGATTCACCAGAGACTGGGGAGCAGAGCAGATAGATCAAGGAAGTATACTGCTGAGGGGAGCAGTGGGCGAGACAGGAGAGATCTGTTGGACGATGTGGATCGCTTCTGGGCCTGGGGATCGAACCCACACTGAAGCAGCTGTGGCTAACTTGCAGTGCTGCCCTTTAACTCACTGTGCCACTCGGGGGTGCCCAGGTGATGGTTGCTCTTAAACCTCATTTGTTTCATGCTGCTACCTAAGGATCTGTATTAGTTTCCTGTTGTTGTGTCCTCTTGGATTAAACTTAAGACTGTCCTAGGATTCAAAGCTCCTTACCATTTTGTCCTTGCCCTGTCTTTGTATTTCACATTACCTTAGAGTAGAGCTTCAGACAGGATTTGGAGCCTAACTAGCTGAATTTAAGTCTGAGTTTGCCTCTTAGCCTTTTGGTTTTAGACATTTGTCATGTGCTAACAATTGTGGGTATTGTATTATTCATCTTCTAGTACTGATCTCAGAAGGTTACATATTAAGCATTTAGAACCTGAGATGCAGTAAAAGCTCAGATACTATCACCAGAAATGTTACTTCTTTCTTAAGTTGCTTCTTTCCAGGAATGCTGTTCTTTAAGGACTAGTAGTAGTTCCATGCAGCTTTCCCTGGTCCCTCAGCTTGCGTAACACAATGTCCTAGAGCATCATATATTTGGCGCCTTTTTCTGTTCTTACAGTTAGGATCACATGCTTTTGTTGAGATTTGTCAGGAGCCATATTACCATATTATATTGTATTCTCACAATACAATGCAAAGCACATACTAGATGGTTTGAAAGTACTTGGTAGGATGAGTTGAACCTCCTGAGTGAATTTCAGATATGTTAAGAAACAGACATTGCATAATACATTCAATTTAATTATTAGTTTTTCCTTTTCAGGTACTGGTTCTTGCACCCACAAGGGAGTTGGCGAATCAAGTAAGCAGAGACTTCAGTGACATCACAAAGAAGTTGGCAGTGGCTTGTTTTTATGGTGGAACTCCCTATGGAGGTCAAAGTAAGTAAATCCAAAATCCATGGAAGGAAAATGCATGCACTGTTGAATGTCCTGATTGGGTTTCATCTGCCCTGTTATCTGGCTTGGAATTTACAGTGTTTTTATTTAAATATTATCAGAACATGGCATTGCAAAATGTGTCACATCCTCTGTATAATTCTTAGGACTCTGTATCATCTCTTTCTTTATCTAAACACTGCAAAAATTCCCTATTGATCCGAGAGGACAGTTGGGCACTTGGAACAAAGTCAGAACTCAAGGTGTTGTTTCTCATCTGTCAAAGACCTTGTCTCAGCCTCTCGTGGCATCCCTGCTTTCTTGCTACAGGAGGTCTTTCCCCAGGGGCCACATGTTCCTTCTTTACTATGATATTCCATTACCTTGCAGTTCAAGACTTTTAAGCTTTATTATACAGAGCAACATAGGAGGGGATTTAAGACATTAACAGTGTTTTAGCATTGGCACACAAGGCATGTGATCATTTCCAGCTGTGGTGGAACACATGTAGGCTTTGACATCAGAAAGACTGGGGTTTAAATCTAGACTTCATAGCTGAGTGATTTTAAATTGAAATCGCTTAACTTTTCTGCACTTCAATCACTAATGTATAAGTAGGGTTAGTAAATTGACCTTTAGGTGTGTTGTGAGGAATTAATTAGATAATGTAAAGTAAATAGTATTCCCAGACTGCAACAGCAACTCACTTAAAAATTGCATTATTAAATTAATTAAATGCATTTAAATTAATTAAATGCTTCACTCAATTATATTGAACTCTACTTTTTCAACATTTATACCTTGCGGTGCTTGCCCTTTTATCTCATCTCCCTTAAAGTACTATTTCATTAAGGTTCTGATGCTCATTGGTCTGTGAAAGTTTGAAATTTTCCACCAGCCAAGAAGTCATATCTTTCTTGTTGCTACTATCTCCCACTGCAGATAATTTTTCTATTATGTTTTATAATGCACTTGGTTGTCACTTCTTAAATGTTCCCCCCACTAGACTAAGGGGTGCCTTTTTACCTTCAGTATTAGTACATTTCCTGGTTCTTGTAGCTAATAAATATTTTAGAATAAAAATATGATTGGTACCCCAGCTGTTAAGATGCACTAATAACCCAACATATTTTATTGTTGTCCTTTATAGTTGAGCGTATGCGGAATGGGATTGATATCCTGGTTGGGACACCAGGTCGTATCAAAGACCACCTGCAGAATGGCAAGCTAGATCTCACCAAACTTAAGCATGTTGTCTTGGATGAAGTTGACCAGATGTTGGATATGGGGTTTGCTGATCAAGTGGAAGAGATTTTATGTGTGGCATATAAAAAAGGTAAAATCCAAATTCAGGGGGAACTGATGAAAGAGAATGTAGAATGGGTGGTTATTTAGAAGTTAAATGTGGCTATGAGTAATTGGGAGGTGTTCTGTTTGGAACTTGAGTTGGGGGAAAAATACATGATTTTCATTTAATTACAATGGAGAAAACTTGAGAAGTAAAAAGAAAATTTTAATATCCTGCCAGCTTAATGTACTTGGCTTTTGGTTTTTTTGCTTTTTCTTGCTGTCTTTGTGCTATTGCATGTGTGCTGAATATCATCTCTCTGTACATATAAAAGTTTGGCTTAATACTCCATGCTAATCCATCTCTTTAACTTGTACATAAAATAAATTTCTGTCCTTACATTTTTATGCAAATAGCTTTCTTCTTACTTCATTATTTGGTATTATTCAGAATAGATTGCCAGAAATAAAATTACTGAGTTGAGAGGTAGAAACTGTTTAATACACCCTGTATATATGTTGGCAGGCTGATGTCTACCAGCTGACACTACCATTTGAACATCCAGTAAATAGTATTTCACAGAGCAGACCAAATAGTAAAATCAGGGTTGGAAAACTTGTAATACCTGACTTCAAAGAATGAATAGACTGGAATTCTAAACTCTTAAATACTAAGTGGTCCGGAAGCAAAATAAGTTTAAAATACTTTCGCTATTGCCAGAATTCTTCCCATGACTTATTTCAGCAATATTTCGTTGTTGGGAACTTCTAACTGCTTCATTTTTGTGTTCTCAATACCTGGCTTCACTTCAAGAGGTTGCTGTAGACTATTAATGGAGCCTGGAAGAACTGAGCGAGGTAGAATACTATGCAGTCTTGGTTGGGTTATTCATGCTGACTTTTTCTTCCCCCAAAGATTCAGAAGACAATCCCCAAACCCTGCTTTTTTCTGCCACTTGCCCTCATTGGGTATATAATGTTGCTAAGAAATACATGAAATCTACATATGAACAGGTGGACCTGATTGGTAAAAAGACTCAGAAAGCAGCAATAACTGTGGAGGTAAATGATTCATTTAGTTGTTGACATTAGTTAAACTGTGTCATTTTTTCCCTTTTGGAAAATATTAAGACTGGAAAATACAAAACTCCTTTTTTGATGAATGCTAGATCCATGTGAAAAATAAAGATATTTTGATATGGGTGGAATATGAAATGTGTTTCCTAAATTTTGTCTTCTTGTAGCCTGATATCAGAGTCTTTGGGATCTAAATCTGTGTAAATTATTTCACAACTGAAAGAAATTATGCCTAGATTTTAATCCCTAGATGGCAGCAGAGAAATCTAGTGTTTGTGTTGAATACATTTTCATCTTAGTGTTTGGTTGTAGATGAATTATTTACACCCAAAGAATGGACCTATACAGTAACTGACCAACACTTGTTGCGTTTTTAAATAGATAAAAGGATAGAACATGTAGAATCTTTTCTCCTGTCAGTTACTTAGTTTCCTGTAGGAATCTATGCAATGAAATTTTTTTCTTTTATTTTGCTGATTAAGTCAGAAAATACATAAAGAAGCTAAGTTCTCTTTGGAGGAAGGGGAAAAAACTTTCTGCTTTAATGACTTAGGAAGTGGTAGCAGTAGTCTGTGCCTGTTAGGTTTAAACATTTGCTTCCAAAACTAAAACTATTAGGATTGTGCTGATGATTGGTTCCAGTGAGACCTTACTAATCTTTTTTTCTCTCACATCAGCATCTGGCTATCAAGTGCCACTGGACTCAAAGGGCAGCAGTTATTGGGGACGTGATCCGAGTATACAGTGGTTTTAATGGACGCACTATCGTCTTCAGTGAAACCAAAAAGGAAGCCCAGGAATTGTCGCAGAATACATCCATAAAGCAGGTTGGGTCTCTCCCTTTCCTTTAGGGAGGAAGTATCTTTCAGTTAATACATGATAATGTCCTAATCTGTCCATCTCATCTCATAGATGAGGGACATTGTTAACCCCAGGGTTGTACTGACTGACAGAGTAGACTGAGCACTCTTATCTGGTATTGTTTATCTTGTATTGTTGTATGCAGTTTAGTGGTTGGAAATTGGAAGTAATTTTGAGGCTTATCTATGTAAAGTATGTTTTCCTCTTTGTTTTATTTTCAGAAGTGCCACCAAAACATGAATGTCTTTTAGTGGCCTTATTGGTGAGTTTAAAAGTACTTTATGTTGGTATTCTTAGGCCAGTTTGTTTTTTTGGCAGGATGCCCAGTCATTACATGGAGACATTCCACAGAAGCAAAGAGAAATCACCCTGAAAGGATTTAGAAATGGTGATTTTGGAGTTTTGGTTGCAACCAATGTTGCTGCACGTGGATTAGATATCCCTGAGGTTGACCTGGTTATTCAGAGTTCTCCACCAAAGGTAAGTGCTTCATAATTTGTTTCCTTTGGGTACAAAAACAAATTGGAAGCTGTATTCATTACTTCCATGTAGCAATCTCTTGTGTGCGAGAATGCTGAGTGATTTTTAAAATGAGCCTGCAATGAAACTTTTCCCTCAGAACTCACAATTGAGTGGAAATGCAGCCAGAATCCAGAGGTTAGAAAAATGGTTTCTGGATAGAGAGTCCTGGGAAACTAAAAAGGTCTGTAGTTAACAGCTTCTGTGGTTAAAATTGCTTGGTGAAGGGGCAATAGTTTATGTGTTATGGACAGTACTTCAGGCAAATAAAAGTTGGTCTGAAGGGAGCCTGTTGCCATTATTTTAAGAGACCCCTTAACCTTCTCCCCCAAATAGTAAATTTCTCAGTATTAAAGACTGTTTACAATGATGAGTAAAATGCCTGGTTATTGTGAAGTCACCGGTTCTTATAAAGAAAGTCCCAGAAGTGCAACACAAACATTATTTAAATGGGCCAGAGTAGGCAGTTAGTGCTGTGCAGTGATAGCCACAGTCTTGTGCAGCTGTTTAGCACTTGAAATGCAGCTTTTCTGATCTGACCTGTGTGCTGTAAGTGTAAAATAGAACCAATTTATTGTGGATACTGGCATTTGAAGACGTTAAAAAGAATGTACGATACCTCTGATAATTTGTTCTATGTGGAGAGCTGACTGAAAGGATAACTTTTGGGTATATTGAGTCAAAATAGATTACTTAAATTAGCCTTTTTATAAAGCTGGTTATTTGAAAATTGGAGGTTGAAATTACATATGGCTCTATTAGACATCACTGTATTTAGATTATGCTTTCTGCAAAATTTGCCCCATCATTCTAAATGTTTTAAAAGTTGTCTTAGCTTTTTAATTTAAACTTAAGTTCTAAAAATAAGTTGAAGTGCTAAAGAGCACACCCTGTGTCTGTGAGCCTGGCGTTGGGGCTCTTCATAGATTGCTTGGGTCTTTGTTTCTTTTGTCCCACTATGTCACTTACATATTTATACTTTAATAGGATGTGGAGTCTTATATCCATCGTTCTGGGCGAACAGGGAGAGCTGGAAGGACAGGTGTTTGCATCTGTTTTTATCAGAACAAAGAAGAATATCAATTAACACAAGTGGAACAAAAAGCGGTAAAATATTTTTCTTTGTTTTTAACAGATGTTGAATTCTAAACTAATCTTTAGTTTTTAAATTCAGTTTTTATTTTTGTATCATGTGGCCATGAGTAAAAAAAAAAAGCTTGTATTGTTAGATACACGTTGTTTTATATATTGTCCTATGAGATAAAACCCAAAATTTTATATTTGAAAGCAATGGTTTTGTTTTCGTATTTATAGTTTCAATGAGTGTTTTAGGTTTGAAAGGCAGTTTTCAGACAGTGCAAGTGAACACACCAGAAATATTTTTAGCATGGATTAAGTGGTTATCAGAAGTGTTCAAAAGGACATCAGTAAGTCAAGAGGATAAATTTATAAATAGGAGAGAAGAAACAATTTCCATACAGAATTATTTGGTAAGGATATCCTTATTCCTCCTCTAAGAGGTAGAGATTATACTCCCTCTTCCCTTGACTAGATAGCACTTCGTGACTTGCTTACAAAGAATAGAGGAGGGCAGTGTGTGAAGTCTTTCTAGTGTGGATAACAGAAGAGTGCTACCTACCAGGTGATTGTGGTAAATCCATGATGAAATATTGGAGATGGGCATTCATTGCTGGTCTTTACCCCCCAAAACCCAAAACCCACAATCCCTTTGTAAGCATTTGACAATATCAGACATCCTCAAATTAAGGGATATTCTACAGAATACTTGACCTAGCATTCCTTAATAAAACTATCTAAGATCATGAAAAAGAAAGACAGAAACTGTCACAGATCACATGAGACTAAGACAAAATGATGATATATATTGTGGGTTGGATATTGAAATTGAAGAATGTCAGAAAAACTAGTGACAACTGAATGAACTTGAGTTCAGTTGATGATAATATAACAAGGCTGGAGTCTTAGTTGCGAAAAATATACAATAGGAAAACTTGGTGCATACTATATAGGAAATCTAAACTACTCTTAAGTGAAAAGTTTTATCTTTTATATAATACATTTGGTAAATGTGAAACAATTAGGGAGTTGCTAATCTCATTGGAAACAGTAGGTGGCAACATTGTGCATAAACTGGTTCATTTTCTTGCAGGGAATTAAATTTAAACGAATAGGTGTTCCTTCTGCTACAGAGATAATAAAAGCTTCTAGCAAAGATGCCATCAGGTAAGTTTCTTCCCACTGCTGTAGTCTGTTCTAATGCTTGTTGTAAATACTGCTTATTTTTGTGCAGTAATTAGATTTGGCCTAAACTTTATTTCCTTTATTAAATTTAACGATTTATAACCTTATAAAAATGGACTGCTGAAATGAAATTTTGCAAAGTAAATATCCTCATTTCTGCTCATCAGAAGCAGAGACTACTAATAGTTAGATTTGTCTCCAGCATTTCAAGGAACTGTATCATGAAGTATAGGTGCTTCCCATCTGGAGATTGATTATATAGGATCACAGCTTATAGTCCACATCTTTATTAAACCAGTCACTGACCTTATGGGAATGAGAGTAGGCCACTTCTTTAATTTACAATATTTAGATTGTGAGGATTAGATTGTCAGTGTAGTTGCTAATGGCATTAAGAATGAGACCATTATTTACTATGAGGGACTGAAATAAACTCAGCCGTTTAGCGTCCATCACTATGTAGTAGTATTCTCCTGGGGATTGCATGGAGTTGGCGCTGTGATGCTTCAGCATGCTCCGTGTGGTGAGCTCCCCTGCTAGATGAGTCAGTGAGCCTGAGCACCATTTTTAGATGCTTTCCACAACTTCATAATAACTACAAATAAGTGAAATGCAGTGGGAGGTTCCATGATCAAGGGAAATGCTAGATATTAGCATATAGTATTTGAACGTTCTGCAAAGGAATTTAGTTCGGAAATTAGAACATTTATTTTGATATGATTTGAAGTATCCTGGTAACAGGCTTGTCTATAACACCAATGAAGGAAATTTGGGTTTTAGATGGCCAGCAAGGAGGAAGGAAAGAGACTGTGATTCTCGAAGTAATGCGTGTATTGTCATAAGATGTTCAGTATTCAGTATCATGACTTGTAACGGCAGTATGGCATTTCATTGTTTCATGGTTTGTTTAACCAGTCCCTGTTGATGTACCTGTTAAAGTTCTTTGTTTCATGCACATAATAAGTAACACTGGTGAGCATCTTCATATTTGTTTTACTAATTCCCTGAGATAAGACTTTGGGGGCTTTTGCTTGTTTGTTTTGAAGTTAAAATAGAATTAGGTACAAAGGAACGGATTTATTACTACAGAAATGTGTATTGTATCAAAGTGATGCGTTTGATACATGAAAAGATTTTGATTTGAAAGTTACTGATTTATCTCGAGATACTGCTGTCTTAAAGATGAAGCCTGTTTCTGTCTTTTCTCCTAATAAATACATCTAATCAAACTGTAGGCTTTTGGATTCTGTGCCTCCTACTGCAATTAGTCACTTCAAGCAGTCTGCCGAGAAGCTGATAGAGGAGAAGGGAGCCGTGGAAGCGTTGGCAGCGGCTCTGGCGCATATTTCAGGCGCCACATCCGTAGACCAGCGCTCCCTGATCAACTCAGAGGCGGTATGCAGCCTGTCAAGCTTATGACTCTTCAAAATTTTAGAGTTTTAGGAGGATTGAAAGGGTTCAATTAAACTTCACAGTTTTAACTTCTGTGTGAAGGTAGATTTAGTTAAGCAAATCCATACAGACAGAAAATAGATTACTGGCCAGTGGCTTGGTAGAAGTGGGGGGGGGTGGGTAATGGCTGCTAATGAGCATGTGATTTCTTTGGGGATTAATGAAATATTTTGGAATTTGAGAAGGTAGCAATGGTTACATCCTTTGTGAATGTTCTTAATTGCCCTGAGCTCTGTACTTTAAAGTGGTGACTTGATGTAAGGGGGAGAGGGGTGTGTATTTTTTAGGAAGTTTAGAAAGAGTTCAGAAACAAGGCAAATATTTATTGTTTGGGTTTGTTTTTGAAAGTATACTTTTGTTCCTCTTCCAAAAGGGCTTTGTGACCATGGTTTTGCGGTGTTCGATTGAAATGCCAAACATTAGTTATGCATGGAAAGAGCTTAAAGAGCAGTTGGGTGAGGATATTGATTCCAAAGTGAAAGGAATGGTCTTTCTCAAAGGAAAGCAGGTAAGGCCGTGACTCTGACTTGATTAAGTACCTCTACATGGCTGGAGAACATAGTGTGGTTTCTCCCAGCTTCTGGGGCTGCTGCATCTTCTCACTGTGTATACTTTTGGACAACAGTAGCTGTGATCCTCCATTTCCACTTGGTTACTGACAACTGCATGTCTGTATCTCTAGCCTCAACCAAGCCATCAGTAAACAACATCAGACTTGAAGATCCAGATCTGGCATTTCCATCCAGATGGGGCTTCTTAGGCAACTTAAAACAAATTTGTTCAAAGTTTTGTTCAAAATCTTCTAATCTGAAACCTTGTCTACCAAACCTGGTGTTCTTTTTTCTGGGTTCTGTTTTGGTGGCATAGACAGATGTAGTAATTGGCAAACATTTGGATTCATGATGTCTTTACCTCCTTAACAAGTGTTGGGGATCCCAAGAAGCCTTTGCTTATGTATAGGTGTCTATTGATATTTATAGTATTAGAAATTAAAAGTATAATTCAAGGGGCTCAGAGGGTTAAGACTCAGCATTGTGAAGCTATTGGCAGCCATTAAAGCAGAGTTCGATCCCTGGCCAGGGAGCTGACCCACATGGCGCAGCAGACTTCTCCTGTTTCATCTACTACTCCCCTCAGCAGTGTATTTCAATCAGTCCACCTGTTCTGTTCCCCACTCTGTCTCTGGTGAAGACTCTAACCCCTCCCACCCCCGCACCTCTGGCCTACACCCAGTTCTTAAATGCATAAAATAAATATATTTTTAAAAACTATAATTAAAAAACATGCAACTAGCATATCCCATTACAAGGATATCATCCTGTGTAATGTAGTGTCTTGGGAATTCCACTGTTCCTTTAGGAGAGAAAGTGTGGAAAGGATGGAGAATCCTAGTAGTATTCTTAGTATTTCTGAAAATAATTTTGACTTTGTGGAACCCCTGAAAGATCTTGGGGTGCTGGATACACCCCAAGGTGTATCCAGGCGAACCATTGGCCTAGTGAGCCAAATCAGGTTTCTTTCAGCTCATTACCTATCTGGTCATGTTATTTACCTCCTTAAGCAACTGTACAAACAACGACCCAACTTTCTTGTGAAGGTTAAGGTCATTCATGAATTGACACCCCCTTGATCAACTTCATCCCTACCATCTTCTCCAGCAATGCCAAGTACATCTTGCTTTCTTTCATTCTAATTGCATTCTCGGTCCTCTCTTTATAATAATTTTTTTCCTTCTATGATATCCGCTATGACATGACAACCATAAATCTCCCTCTGAAACGTTCTCTGACCTCACAGCTGAGTTAGAGCATCTTTTTCTGTACTTGAGATTTCTTAGGGCATATTTTTATTCTGTGTTTGCTTTTAAATAGTCAAATATGTGAATCAGGATTCTCACAAATGGCAGAATACACTAATATGATGTTACTTGATGGATTTTGGGTAGTTGTTGGATGGAGTGGTGTTCCTGCTATAATGTTGCAGTTAAGACACCAAGGGGAGAATGTCTATGTTAGTTACAGGGGTGTTTTATATTTGCAGCGATCTAAAAGCAGGAGAACATTAAGGCATTGCTTATTATCAAAGATAGCATCCTATAAAGTAACTTTTTAAAGGTTTCATCACTAGAAACTGGATTATAACATCCTAGAAAGTCAACAGTAGATGATCATTTCTTACTCTGCTTTCAGTTTGATCACTCTGAATATCTGACACTTTTTCCTACTTATCAGCTGTAGGTCTCTAGTAACTCAGTCTCTAAGCCTATTTTCTCAGCTATAAAAATATATCTAGGGCCCTCCCTGGTGGCGCAGCAGGTTAAAGCACTCTACTAAGAAGCTAAAGCCACTTCAGCATGAGTTGGATCCCTGCCCGGGAGGTGACCCACATGGTGCGGCAGACCTCTCCTGACCCGTCCGCTGCTCCCCTCAGCAGTGTACTTTGTTGATCTGCCTGTTCTGTTCATCACTCTGCCTGTACCCCAGTTCTGTATGCACAAATAAATAAATCTTTAAAATATATATATAATTACTTGAGGATTAGCACAGTGTGATAGCCAGGAATGCTATCTATCAGTTCTAAATAATTTTGAGTTTCAATTTTTAGAAGTCCCTGGCTTTTTGCTGTTGTGCTTTTAGAGGGTATAATGTACATATAAATTGCATCTGAAGTAATACCTGGCCTGTTTCAACATAGTATCTGGTCTTTAATGTGCATTTTGTAATATATATCAGACTCTAATGTAATTTGCATTTGTTCTGATTTCTAGGGTGTTTGTTTTGATGTCCCTACTGCAACAGCAACACAAGTACAGGTATTCTTTTTTCTTGTGTTTTTGAAGTAAACATCTAATTGTAAAATGTTCATCATTGGCAGTACAGAAATGCGACATCTCTACCACCTTTACTGGGATAAAGTTAAAGATTAAATTCTAGTGTTTTTTCCTAGATCTTTTTCTTGTTTGACCTATAGTCCTTTGTGAGAATTTGTGAACAGTGTCCGAGTTTCCTCCCATATATGTTATACAGGATTTTCTTTTGTTGTTGTTGTTTTTTCTGTATTTATTATTTTTTCATCATTCTTTATTTTGTATGTTTTTTCATCTCAGTTTTAATCCTCATGGGCTTCCCACCACCACTTTACCCATGTGTCATCACTATAGTCCCGTGCTCTCTTCCCACCCAATTTATACAGGATTTTCATAGACGTTTTCTATTGCTATGAAAAATGTGTACATCATATGTACATGTTTTACCACCTCTGATCACTCTAGATACTTTATAGTAGTTGGGTACTTCTCATAGTGAAACTAATTTTCCTATATCTGAGTGATTTTGATTTGGGGTCATGAAAGTTAGTTTATAATTTTGGACCAGTGACTTTTTTTTTTTTTTTT